TATTCAAAAATTATAACGTGTGCATGTTATAAGATTCACTACAAAAAATAATATTTTGTTTCAACACTACTAGTGTCTTATCAAGTGATGGTGTTGTTTGCAAAATAAAAGGTTTTACGAGTTCCAAAAACAAGCAAATCCCCTCAATAGAGGAAGCATTACTGCGTAACCAATATGCCCTCTACGGAACGGGTTTCGCTTGGTTTTTGAACTCTTTATTTTTCAATCGACTCCTTCACTTGATAGGACGCCAGTAGTGTTGAAACAAACTGCAATTTTTATAGTGATCTTATAACCTGCATATGTTATAAATTTGAATATATATTATTTGCTGTACTGAGTATTGTGCACTCTTTTAAGAATAGTGTTTTGGGGTTATCAGAATTTTATTCCATTTGTACCAAACCTGTATATATATATATATATATATATATATATATATATATATATATTTATTTGTGTGTGTGTGTGTGTGTGTGTGTGTGTGTGTGTGTGTAACTATACTGTTTCGAAATCATTCGAATTGTTGATTTGCCAGTAATCAAATCAATCTCGAAGGAAAAAAAGGTTTTGAAAAAAGAAAGAGCTAGAAACATGAAAGTCTGTCGAAAAAAAATCGTACAGATACAGGTTCAAAGCCTAAAGAAAAAAACCCGAAACAAAACAGCTTTCCCTGACGATCCGCCTAGGTGAAACCCGGGTAGGTTTGTCTTGCTCACTAGGTTTATCTATCTATCTATCTATCTATTCATCTATCTATCTATCTATATATATATATATATATAGTGTTTGTGTGTATGTGTTTGAATTAGTAGACTCCATTTTGAAATGATGCAATTTATATATGGCACTCCCTCACCACCAATTTATACACTCAGAAAATTCATTGGTAAATTCACGTACTTATAAAATAATTAGTTTCCTAATCGATGACATATATTTTATGTCATCTTTTTTCTGTTGCTTTTTATCCTAAAAACTCTGGCTCTATACACTCTTCATTATTATTATTATTATTATTTTATGACTAATTTTATTCCATCTCATTATTGTTGCTTTTTATCCCAACACTCTGGCGCTATACACTCTTCATTATTACTATTATTTTATTACTAGATTTATTCCATCTTATTATTGTTGCTCTTTACCCCAACACTCTGGCGCTATACACTCTTCATTATTACTTTTATTTTATGACTAGTTTTATTCCATCTTATTATTGTTGCTTTTTATCCCAACACTCTGGCGCTATACACTCTTCATTATTACTTTTATTTTATGACTAGTTTTATTCAATCTTATTATTGTTGCTTTTTATCCCAACACTCTGGCGCTATACACTCTTCATTATTACTATTATTTTATGACTAGT